TTTTAGCCCCTTAATGCCGAGTGCCAGACAGGGTAACAACAAGTACCATCTTTTAACGTCTTTTGGTATGACGCGTTCGGGGATCGAACCCCGGACCTTCCGCTCTCCGGGCGGATGCTCTACCACTAGACCACCGAGGCGGTCTCGCTCCTAAAGCTGAGAATGGGATGGCTATGGGTAGATAGAGCTACAAAGGGGACGAGGAGCGGAATCGGGGTGAATGTTTTGAACATAAAAGACCTATATATTTTATCTGTAAACGAGACTACCATCTATTGTCACCTCAGCGTGTGCAGCACTCCTGCAATGTTTGTACAAACTGACTGTTATGTAATAGACGGGGGTCGTCCTTCCCGAGTCAGTGCACCCTACCTCATAAATGTATTTAGGTAAGGGATGTCAAACATTTCAATGAGTAATTCTCCCACTTTACTACATTCCAAAGTTATGAGACATTGATTTATCTAAAAACATATATGTCTTCAATACAGTATTCAGTGTGCAATGTAGATCCCATTAGTTGCCTGTACGCTTCTTCCTGCATAACTTACGTACTCTAGGCAGGCCGAATACAGATACATCTATCAATAGTTGCTTAAATATACACTACTACAAATCAGAAGACTCACTTGGCAAAGGATGACTAATCGCAGTGAATAGTTGTCATGAATGAATATGTGTGATCGCTGCTCCAGGCTTTACCCATGCTCCTCCATGCTTACCCGTGCGAACTCATGCTTACCATCACTCCTCCAGGCTATACCCATGCTAACTTGTGCTTACCCTCGCTCCTCCAGGCTTTCCCCATGCTAACTTATGCTTACCATCACTCCTCCAGGCTATACCCATGCTAACTTGTGCTTACCCTCGCTCCTCCAGGCTTTCCCCATGCTAACTTGTGCTTACCCTCGCTCCTCCAGGCTTTCCCCATGCTAACTTGTGCTTACCCTCACTCCTCCAGGCTTTACCCATGCTAACTTATGCTTACCATCACTCCTCCAGGCTATACCCATGCTAACTTGTGCTTACCCTCACTCCTCCAGGCTTTACCCATACTAACTTATGCTTACCCTCACTCCTCCAGGCTTTACCCATGCTAACTTATGCTTACCATCACTCCTCCAGGCTATACCCATGCTAACTTATGCTTACCATCACTCCTCCAGGCTATACCCATGCTAACTTGTGCTTACCCTCACTCCTCCAGGCTTTCCCCATGCTAACTTATGCTTACCCTCACTCCTCCAGGCTTTACCCTTACTAACTTGTGCTTACCCTCACTCCTCCAGGCTTTACCCATGCTAACTTATGCTTACCCTCGCTCCTCCAGGCTTTACCCATGCTAACTTGTGCTTACCCTCACTCCTCCAGGCTTTACCCATGCTAACTTGTGCTTACCCTCACTCCTCCAGGCTTTCCCTATGCTAACTTGTGCTTACCCTCGCTCCTCCAGGCTTTCCCCATGCTAACTTGTGCTTACCCTCGCTCCTCCAGGCTTTCCCCATGCTAACTTATGCTTACCCTCGCTCCTCCAGGCTTTCCCCATGCTAACTTGTGCTTACCCTCACTCCTCCAGGCTTTACCCATGCTAACCTGTGCTTACCCTCGCTCCTCCAGGCTTTCCCCATGCTAACTTATGCTTACCCTTGCTCCTCCAGGCTTTACCCATGCTAACTTATGCTTACCCTTGCTCCTCCAGGCTTTCCCCATGCTAACTTATGCTTACCCTCGCTCCTCCAGGCTTTACCCATGCTAACTTATGCTTACCCTCGCTCCTCCAGGCTTTACCCATGCTAACTAATGCTTACCCTTGCTCCTCCAGGCTTTACCCATGCTAACTCATACTTACCCTCGCTCCTCCAGGCTTTACCCATGCTTGTAAATGCTTACCCTCGCTCCTCCAGGCTTTACCCATGCTAACATCATGCTATTTCAAGCCCTCCCATGTTTACCAATCCTTCCCACCTACCCATGCTCACCTGAGCTCTCTTACATGTGCTCCCCCATGCTCACCTGAGCTCTCTTACATGTGCTCACCCATGCTCACCTGAGCTCTCTTCCATGTGCTCACCCATGCTCACCTGAGCTCTCTTCCATGTGCTCACCCATGCTCACCTGAGCTCTCTTACATGTGCTCACCCATGCTCACCTGAGCTCTCTTACATGTGCTCACCCATGCTCACCTGAGCTCTCTTACATGTGCTCACCCATGCTCACCTGAGCTCTCATACATGTGCTCACCCATGCTCACCTGAGCTCTCTTACATGTCCTCACCCATGCTCACCTGAGCTCTCTTACATGTGCTCACCCATGCTCACCTGAGCTCTCTTATGTGTGCTCACCTGAGCTCTCTTATGTGTGCTCACCCATGCTCACCTGAGCTCTCTTACCTGTGCTCACCCATGCTCACCTGAGCTCTTTTATGTGTGCTCACCCATGCTCACCTGAGCTCTCTTATGTGTGCTCACCTGAGCTCTCTTACCTGTGCTCACCCATGCTCACCTGAGCTCTCTTACCTGTGCTCACCCATGCTCACCTGAGCTCTCTTATGTGTGCTCACCCATGCTCACCTGAGCTCTCTTATGTGTGCTCACCCATGCTCACCTGAGCTCTCTTACCTGTGCTCACCCATGCTCACCTGAGCTCTCTTACCTGTGCTCACCCATGCTCACCTGAGCTCTCTTCCATGTGCTCACCCATGCTCACCTGAGCTCTCTTACCTGTGCTCACCCATGCTCACTTGAGCTCTCTTCCATGTGCTCACCCATGCTCACCTGAGCTCTCTTCCATGTGCTCACCCATGCTCACCTGAGCTCTCTTACATGTGCTCACCCATGCTCACCTGAGCTCTCTTACATGTGCTCACCCATGCTCACCTGAGCTCTCTTACGTGTGCTCACCCATGCTCCCTCACACCTTCTCTCACACATGGACCGTCCCAATCACACCGATGTATATTTCCAAACTTCTCTGAACTTTTAGAGACATTACAGCACATGTTTGACTTCATCTCTGTGTTGAATGTACATCTGTGATGACGGGGGCGTGCGGTGGAGCATGGAGGCTGACTCACCCCCCTGGCCGACCCCCAGACATCTCCCTACTCTGTCAACCTTCTCCCTGTATTTGTTACTGTAACATGACGTTACTATTGACCTACTTCCATGTACTGTGCACACAGCCCTTCTTCATCCCAAGCATGGGTTGTGTGTCAGTGTGTGTAAGTAGCTGACTCTCTGGCAGGAATGTCTTTATGTTGAGGGTGATTTGCTCTAACTCACTCACAGTAAGGCTGTGATTCACAATCCCTTTTTTGGTGTCATCAATGATAGCTATTTGATGTGTGTGTTTGTAAATATGTTGTCTGCATGATGCTTGTGATCATTGAGTAGATTGCTGCTCATGATGCTAATAACTGGATTGTCTGGTCCAGGCTCGATTATTTACAGACTAAAGGGCACTGGTGGCCCAGTCGTCTAAGGCGCCACGATTCGCTGTAAAGGGTTGCATCCCTTGTGCACGCCAGAAACCTATGATTGTGGGTTCTAGGTTTGTCAGCACCATACCCGTGCTCGTGGGTTTCACCGAAGTGGTAAACGTCAGAGACCTGCATTACTTCGGGCTTTCCTCCAAAATTAAGCTGACATGCTGCGATATAACTGGAATACTGTTAAAAGTGGCGTTAAAACCCAACTCACTCACTCACTACTTACAGACTGACACCATGAAGCTGGAACAATGCTGAGTGAGGTGTTAAACAAATAAACAAACAAACAAACAAGAAAATCCCATATACTCCAATGTACCCATCCACCCAAACCACCCCATCCATAAAGCCATCACAGACCCATACTCACCCACCCAGCCCACTCTATATACCATCCATCCCTCACATTAACACACCCACCTCCCATGCATATACCCTGCCAGTCACCCACCCACCCATCCTACCATCCGCCCCCCTCCACCCACCCTGTCCACCCATCCACCCACTCTGTCCACCCCCTCCACCCACCCTGTCTACCCCCTCCACCCACCCATCCTACCATCCGCCCCCTTCACCCACCCTGTCCACCCATCCACCCACTCTGTCCACCCCCTCCACCCACCCTGTCCACCCCATCCACCTTCCCTGTCCATCCCATCCACCCACTCTGTCCACCCCATCCACCCACCCTGTCCAACCCATCCACCCACTCTGTCCACCCCATCCACCCACCCTGTCCACCCATCCACCCACTCTGTCCACCCCCTCCACCCACCCTGTCCACCCCATCCACCTTCCCTGTCCATCCCATCCACCCACTCTGTCCACCCCATCCAACCACCCTGTCCAACCCATCCACCCACCCTGTCCACCCCCTCCACCAACCCTGTCCACCCCATCCACCAACCCTGTCCACCCCATCCACCAACCCTGTCCACCCCATCCACCCACTCTGTCCACCCCATCCACCCACCCTGTCCAACCCATCCACCCACCCTGTCCACCCCCTCCACCAACCCTGTCCACCCCATCCACCAACCCTGTCCACCCCATCCACCAACCCTGTCCACCCCATCCACCCACTCTGTCCACCCCCTCCACCCACCCTGTCCACCCCATCCACCCACCCTGTCCAACCCATCCACCCACTCTGTCCACCCCCTCCACCAACCCTGTCCACCCCATCCACCAACCCTGTCCACCCCATCCACCAACCCTGTCCACCCCATCCACCCACTCTGTCCACCCCATCCACCCACCCTGTCCACCCCATCCACCAACCCTGTCCACCCCATCCACCCACTCTGTCCACCCCCTCCAACCACCCTGTCCAACCCATCCACCCACTCTGTCCACCCCATCCACCCACCCTGTCCACCCCATCCACCAACCCTGTCCACCCCATCCACCCACTCTGTCCACCCCCTCCAACCACCCTGTCCACCCCATCCACCCACTCTGTCCACCCCCTCCAACCACCCTGTCCAACCCATCCACCCACCCTGTCCACCCATGCCAGTCACCCACCCACCCATCCTACCATCCGCCCCCCTCCACCCACCCTGTCCACCGCTCCACCCACCCTGTCCACCCACTCTGTCCACCCCCTCCACCCACCCTGTCCACCCACTCTGTCCACCCCCTCCACCCACCCTGTCCACCCACTCTGTCCACCCCCTCCACCAACCCTGTCCACCCCATCCACCCACTCTGTCCACCCACTCTGTCCACCCCCTCCACCCACCCTGTCCACCCACTCTGTCCACCCCCTCCACCAACCCTGTCCACCCCATCCACCTACTCTGTCCACCCCATCCACCCACCCTGTCCACCCTCTACCCCTCCACCCACTCTGTCCACCCCTTCCACCCACCCTGTCCACCCACTCTGTCCACCCCCTCCACCCACCCTGTCCACCCCCTCTGTCCACCCCCTCCACCCACTCTGTCCACCCCTTCCACCCACCCTGTCCACCCCCTCTGTCCACCCCCTCCACCCACTCTGTCCACCCACTCTGTCCACCCCCTCCACCAACCCTGTCCACCCCTTCCACCCACTCTGTCCACCCACTCTGTCCACCCCCTCCACCCACCCTGTCCACCCACTCTGTCCACCCCCTCCACCCACCCTGTCCACCCACTCTGTCCACCCCCTCCACCCACCCTGTCCACCCACTCTGTCCACCCCCTCCACCCACCCTGTCCACCCACTCTGTCCACCCCCTCCACCAACCCTGTCCACCCCATCCACCCCCTCTGTCCACCCCCTCCACCCACCCTGTCCACCCCCTCCACCCACTCTGTCCACCCCTTCCACCCACCCTGTCCACCCCTTCCACCCACCCTGTCCACCCCCTCCACCAACCCTGTCCACCCCTTCCACCCACTCTGTCCACCCACTCTGTCCACCCCCTCCACCCACCCTGTCCACCCACTCTGTCCACCCCCTCCACCCACCCTGTCCACCCACTCTGTCCACCCCCTCCACCAACCCTGTCCACCCCATCCACCCCCTCTGTCCACCCCCTCCACCCACCCTGTCCACCCCCTCCACCCACTCTGTCCACCCCTTCCACCCACCCTGTCCACCCCTTCCACCCACCCTGTCCACCCCTTCCACCCACTCTGTCCACCCTGTCCACCCCCTCCACCCACTCTGTCCACCCCTTCCACCCACCCTGTCCACCCCCTCTGTCCACTCTGTCAACCCCTTCCACCCACCCTGTCCACCCCCTCTGTCCACCCCCTCCACCCTCTCTGTCCACCCCCTCCACCAACTCTGTCCACCCCTTCCACCCACCCTGTCCACCCCCTCTGTCCACCCCCTCCACCCACTCTGTCCACCCCATCCACCCACTCTGTCCACCCCCTCCAACCACTCTGTCCACCCCCTCCACCCACTCTGTCCACCCCCTCCACCAACCCTGTCCACCCCTCCACCCACCCTGTCCACCCCATCCACCCACCCTGTCCACCCCCTCCACCCACTCTGTCCACCCCATCCACCCACCCTGTCCACCCCATCCACCCACCCTGTCCACCCCCTCCACCCACTCTGTCCACCCCATCCACCCACCCTGTCCACCCCTTCCACCCACTCGGTCCACCCCATCCACCCACCCTGTCCACCCCTTCCACCCACCCTGTCTACCCCCTCTGTCCACCCCCTCCACCCACTCTGTCCACCCCTTCCACCCACCCTGTCCTACCCATCCACCCACCCTGCCCACCCCCTCCACGTGCACCCACTCTCCATCCAGGCATGTCTTAATGAAACATTCCCAACAAAACATCTCCCACAAACCAGACAAAGGTGCTCACTGTACTCAATATCTAATTACACCTGTATCTTTAATCCAATCAGTCTTGCACATCAGTAGTCCAACTGGCAACTCTACCGATCAGGTGATTACACACCTGTGCAGGTCGGAGTTTCAGGAATGCCTTTTACCTCTCAAGGTCATCCTGCTTGGACGAGACTGGACCTTGCACTTAATTGTCCTAATGATAGGCCAGACTTAACCTGTAATGACAGACCAGACGAAGCCGCTCTGGACCATCACTGAAGCTGGGGGCAGGTATTGGGGAACCACTTACCTGTGACTGATGGGGAATCATTAAGATGTAAACTGGGGTTTCTGTGCCTCTGCCATTTGTCATTATTTTTCCGGTGATGAATTTGCTATTTCTATGAGGAGGTTGGAGGAGGGATGGATGGACGGCCAGCAAGAGTGTTTTTTTATATCCTTAATGAAATAAAAAATAAATACCGTATTCGATGTAATAAGCGCTCCGCTCTAATAAGCGCCCATGGCGATATTTGCTAATATATTGGCTAGTGAACAATCCAAATTAGCATCCCTTCCGATTGATCAATGTACACACGACTTATTTGTTCGTGTATAATACGCACTCGTGTGTTATATGCACCCTTAATTATGGGCAATTAAATTCTGGAAAATATATCTGTCATGTATAATACACACAGACTTTTCTTATGAATCATTTCAGGCTGTCGGCATCAACCACGAAATTTACGATCTTTCAACTGTTGTTTTTTTCTCACCAAAATTATATTCTAATAAGAGCCCCCTATTTCTAATTTTGAGAGCGCCCCGGGCGCTTATTACGGCGAATACGGTATGTATAGTCTGGAAGGTAATTTAAGGTACCAACGTTTACTACAATATCTGAAAAACTATCGGACCTACTCCAGTCAAAGTTGGTATGAGATTATTAAACAGTCATACATAACTGGATATTACATTTAAAGACAATCGGTGCATGAATAAAAAATCAGTCTATTTAGCTATCACTATATTTCATCAACAACCAGACCTGTTCGTCACACACTTACTCTCCTCTTTCAATAGGTTGGTTTATTTCTGTTGTTTTTGTTCCCACAATTCATACAGTAATTATCCACTTGTTTTATGTACATAGGTGGGTCAAGTGATGTACAGTTTTGCAAGAACATTCCTATTAGGTAGTTGTACCTTGGTAACAAACATCTTCATCCACCCCCCACCCAACCCCAATCCAAACCCCCACCCTCCATCCCCCCTCCCCCACCACCACCCTCCATCCCCCTCCCCCATCCAAACCCCCAGCTTCCCCACCACTCCCCATCCACCTCAATCCCCCTATCCCCCACCCTCCATCCCCCATCCACCTTCCATCCAGCTACTTATATCCCCCACAAAAATACATGCCCATGTTTGGTCTGTTGTACTATTCAATACTATTGTAATACACCTGTCTTCAATAGTGGATGATTATCATAACATGTGATTTTTGTCACACTAAATGCACTGATTTTAAAAATAACAGTTTAAAAGATGCTTTGCAAATATAATATTGTTCCACCAAAGGCACTTTAATTGCATTGAAGTAGGCCATTAGTAACACAGATTGTCATTTGTACTCTCATTACAGGTTCACACACAGTGGTCACCTGGTTGCATCACCTGGTCAACTCTTTGATGTTGGCACACCTGTAATTAACTCGCACATCTTCAGGAAGGCAGGTGCTTGCTCCTCTTGAGACAGGTGTACTTTTTGTAGTGGACATATTGAAGACCTTATGTTGACTGGGTAATTTCTGTGGCTACATTGACAAAAATGGTTTATTTTCCCGATGGGAATTTTGGGAATTTTGGGAATTAAACCAATTTTCCCGATGGGCCATAATTATCTGTTGGGGATAAAAATTAATTGCTTTGATCTGTGAGAGATATATAGTGTGATTAGCTAGTGTTGTAGGAAACAGTTATTTTCATTGTTGATTGGCATATTGCAAGGAAAGGTATGATTCTGACCCAGAATCCCATCCGACTCGTGAAGATCTGGGGTAGAATAGGTCTTCAGCAACCCATGCTTGCCGTTAAAGGCGATTATGCTTGTTGTAAGAGGTGACTAACAGGATCGTGTGGTCAGGCTTGCTGACTTGGTTGATGCATGTCATCAAATCCCAATGGCGTGGATCGATGCTCATGTTGTCAATCACTGGATTGTCTGGTCTGCCGTCATATTGGAATATTGCTGAGTGCGGCGTTAAACAACAAACAAACAAACAAAACAAGCAGAATCCCCATCCAAACTTCAAAACCTATGGGGGTGGTCGAGTAGCCTAGTGGTTACGGCAAAAAACGCCAACTGAATCAAAAGACACGTCACATCAAAAACCCAGGTTCGATTCCCGACATGGGTACAATGTGTGAAGCCCATTTATGGTGTCCCCTGCCATGATATTGCTGGAATATTGCTAAAAGCGGCGTAAAACCATACTCACTCACTTACTCACTCAAGACCTATTGACCTAGAAACTTTGAATGAATGAACCGCCTCAGTGGTCTAGTGGTAGAGCGTCCGCCCGGAGAGCGTAAGGCCCGGGATTCAATCCCCAGTCGCGTCATACCAAAAGATGTTAAAAGATGGTACTTGTTGTTACCCTGTCTGGCGCTCGGCATTAAAGGGGCTAAAACAGCTCGGAGTCAGTAAACTGTGTCTGAGTGGGGTATTCGTGTTAAACTGCAGCATGGTATCTCAGTGAGCTAGCACTATAAATCGGCATCAGTCCGGACTAGTACAAGCAGCCACACACACACGTGCATGCACGTCGCTATTTAAGTGCACTAATCTTGGACGCGACGTTAAACCCCATTTCACCTCACCTTGAATGGATGATCCTAGTCATATGGAGAGTATTATTTCCGAAATCATCAGACACGTGTCATTATGAACTCTGAGATGCAGAAGTATGTCGTCTACGGTATATCATATGCGTCTTTTGGCTTATAAATGTATTTTCTTTCCAACTGCAAACAATGACCTTCACATACTCTCATTTTAATCTATGCTGAAACTGCATGGCCCATGGAGTGTCTCTTGAAGCTGCTGACTGCAATAACTTCTGTCTCAAATGAACACCGTCATTTCCCCATAGGTCAGATGAGCTACATAGCCTTGTGGCTCTATTTTGTAGACATCGAACTGTCTCAAATGAACACCGTCATTTCCCCATAGGTCAGGTGAGCTGCATAGCCTTGTGGCTCTATTTTGTAGACATCGAACTGTCTCAAATGAACACCGTCATTTCCCCATAGGCCAGGTGAGCTACATAGCCTTGTGGCTCTATTTTGTAGACATCGAACTGTCTCAAATGAACACCGTCATTTCCCCATAGGCCAGGTGAGCTACATAGCCTTGTGGCTCTATTTTGTAGACGTCAAACTGTTAAAAAAATTATTCTCTATTCTATCCTAACTGTATATTCATCTCCAATGTTCTGCCAAGAAACACAAGTGTACACAGGGACCACATAAAATTATAAATATCATATCATAAATTCAAAACGGACACATGAAAAGATATTCTCACATCATGGATTCCTAAAAGTTTCTACTTATCTTGAATCTTCAAGTCATTTTAGCCATTTTTCCTGTATCATGTTTGGGGAGGTCGGGTAGCCTAGTGGTTTAAGCGTTCGCTCGTCACGCCAAGACCCGGGTTCGATTACCAACATGGGTACAATGTGTGAAGCCCATTTCTGGTGTCCCCCGCCGTGATATTGCTGGAATATTGCTAAAAGCGGCATAAAACCATTCTCACTCACTCACTCACTATATCATGTTTTGACTGACAATGTACTGGTACGTAGTCCTGCATGCACATGCCACAAATCAGGAAGTTGAGCAACGTCGGTCATGTTTAATATATTTATACCTCCATAAACACAAGTAATATTGAAGTCAATTCTGAAATGCGTTCAAAACTGGACTGTGATGGAGGGAACAAGGCAAATTATCAGTCAGGTGGACAAATCTGATTTATTTCCTACCAAATTCAAAAACATGTCCGTTACTTCGAAATTGACACAACCAGTAGTCTGTCTACCTTGCATTTAACACCAGGAAAAACGTTAATCAAATACTTGGATTAAAAAAAATAGTCTTGTTTGTTTGTATATTTGTTAAATCTTTTATTTGAACAATATTTAGGACATCATCATCGTAAGAACTTATTATTATAAATTATGTGTATTGTTGTCATGACAACATGAAAATAAATTTCAAAATTTCAAAATGCTTCTCAGGGGCGGTCGGGTAGCCTAGTGGTTAAAGCGTTCGCTCGTCACGCCGAAGACCCGGGTTCGATTCCCGACATGGGTACAATGTGTGAAGCCCATTTCTGGTGTCCCCCGCCGTGATATTGCTGGAATATTGCTAAAAGCGGCGTAAAACCATACTCACTCACTCACTCACTCACTCACTCACTCACTCAAAATGCTTCTCAGCATTGAAGCTGGCATAGTTTGGAATAATTCATGGTCAGAACTCAGAACAACACTTGTCATCAATCACACATTTTCCTGGAATATTAAAGAAGTTGATGTTTGACATTTATTTCCAAGTTTTTAGACTGACTTAAAACAGCACAAGGATAACATGAACATAACACTCCAACTCGAAACTTTATCCATCCAACTTGGACGAAAACCGTTCATCTATGAGTCAAGTTACCTAACTTTGTGAGTCAAGGTACATTAAATATCACAATTAAAAGACCATTGCACTCCGCCAACCACAAGAACTGCACAGTAATCAGTATTGGTTACATAGATGCGTGCGGGGACATCAAGGTCGTCGATATGCAAATATCAAGGTCACACCCACTTGACTACACCTATTAAACACCACACAATGAGCATTGTCCAAATAAAAGTGCCCTAGCTATTGTATCCAGCCAGCCATCTGTCCAGACCCATCTTTTTACCTCTACAAGTGGAGAGCGCGAGTCATTATTTGTACCTTCTCGTTTGAAGAGTAATCTGTAGTAGTGTGTGGTTTTTAATGCGTCCGGCAACACTGAGATTTAGGGGATCGTGGAAATATGTGAAGGAAGTCTTTCAACAGTTTTTATTAAACTGCAAATTTGTTCCACTACAGATGTTTTCTGAGGAGGGTTATTGTGTATGGATTAGGAAAATCAAGTGTGGTCTTGATTTAAGACACTTTATCTTTCTTTCTGAATTTGTTTGATGTGAAAATTTAAGCTGGACATTAGAATTGCTATTCTCTGTACGCCTCTTGGGCAGTGATGTGGGTAATTTCTTTAACTAAATTCCATCATCATCATCATCATCATCATCATCATCATGTATTTAATAATAGAAATACTATGTTTATTACTTGGGGAATCTGGGCTAGAATAGGTACCAATGTGTGTGTGTGTGTGTGGGGGGGGGGGGGGGGGGGGGGGGGGGGGTCCGGGGGTCCCCCGTCCATCCCCACCCCCACCCCTTTTGAAAATGATCCAGAGAGTGGATTTTGTACCCCTTCCTTTTAAAATTGGCAGATCTGCCTGTGCAATGGGTCGTAAGAGGTGACTTTATGAATCGGCCGGTGTGTGACAAAATAATTATCTTCCTCAACATTGTTGTGTTTTGTCTGCTGAAGTCTTACAATCTATGAAATAGGTACATTTAAACATCTTTCGTTTTTCTCTAGACGAGTAGCATCAGCAAGACCTGGTGGTCGGAAAGTTGACATTTTAATGAATGACTTTGCCTTTTGACAAGATGACACTACACATTCACCTACACATACCTGTATATCTACATTGTTGACAGTTGTTAAACAGCTCACTCACTCACTCACTCACCACCCACCCACTCACCCGCCCCAAAACCCACCCACCCACCCTCACTCACTCACCAAACACCCACCCACTCACTCACTCACCCACCCAGTCACCCACCCACCAACTCACTCACCCACTCACTTGCTAACTCACTCACTCACTCACTCACTCACCCACCCACCCACCCACCCACCCACTCACTCACTCACTCACTCACTCACTCACTCACTCACTCACTCACCCACCCACCCACCCACTCACTCACTCAGCACAGCACGGAGCAGGAACGTGTAATAAATCCACCGCTGTTCCCACTGCTGCTGTTTTATGTTATCTTGTGATGCATTAACAAATTCAGGATTAATGCCATAAAAATTCAATGAAACATTTCGTCTGTCAACAACAGAATGCAGTTAAGACCCAGTAGAACTTTATAGGAGCGCTGATTTTGTCAACCTATTACCCTTCCAGCTTATGTTCCGATTTGTTTATTGGCTGGATTAAGGCGCTGTCACAAAGTCACAACAGGCCACAAGGTGGCGCTGCTTCCGTCTCGGTCAACTGGTCACTTTCAGACTTGGTGACGAGGAGTGCAGAGACCGTTGAGATGCTCCACTTTTGAATTTTTTATTGGCTCAAATTACCGTTCCTGTTCCTCCCGTCAACAAGAGAACGCTGTTATAAAACACAGTCGCTGTCAGTCAGCTGTGGCAGTCCTGTTGTTTAAGACTGTTTTGTGATGGTAGGTATGCCTACAGATAAATATCGTTTGTCGTATTTTGTCTGCCAGGGCCACGTAAAACTTGTAGACTAGACCTCCCTCGAGGGGAAATGACATTTGACCCCTGACTTGATACTTTAATCGGAGAAGTGGATATTAGGATATAAGTATTATGGTGTTGT